AGTCAGGCATGAAGGAGCTGTGGTTAAGAGGGGCTGGAAGGCCAGGCAGAATGGTTTTTGAAGGTGGAGGAAACTTGATAAAATTCTCATCTAGATGGGTGTGTGTTATGAGAGTGGGTCCAGTCCCGGGGGTCAGAGGAAGTCCATGGAAGAAGGCAAAGAGGAAGAGGACAAGGAAGGTAAAGAGGCAACATACTCGGAGGCTAGAAAAGGGGTCTTTGCTTCTGAGGAACAGTGTGAGGCCAGCTGTTGAGGCAAATGGAGAGATGAGGCAGCTGTCTCAGAGGAGGGACAGGATCCGGGACAGTCCTTGGAGAGGGAGGCAGTGGGGCCAGGGGTCTCAGCAATGGGGACATTGGTGCCCTAGGGTCACCCTTAGGGTGATGCATCTTGAGCTAACCAGGTGTGGGGATTTGGGCACAGGCTGTGAAGAGGAGCCAGAGTGGGGACTTGAGCTGGTGGCAAGAAAGGGTGGGCACAGATGCCCTCACAGCAGTAACAGCAGATACGATGTGTGCACTGGCCGCAGGGGTCCCAGAGAGAGACGTGGGTATCATTGCCCCATCCTGGAAGTGGCACCACATCCGGCTGATCCCCTGTGCTGGTGTCTCCCCACAGCATTACCTGCCCAGGACCCCACCTGCTCTCTTGAGACCACAGCTCCTCAGGAAGAGAAGGAGGAGAACATGACCACCTGGCCGGCAAAGGTGCCACCTGAGGTGAGTGGGGGGTGTCACCCTTTTGTTCTCTGGTCAGTGTCCCCTATGAGGTGACCTTCCCCCTACCTCCCAGCCTCCCACAGGGCAGACCTTTCAGAGTTTCTGAGCCTGAAGGGCTGGGCTGCCTTGTTGCTGCTGTGGAGACCAAGAAAGGGCACAGGGACTGGGAGGCAAGAAATCTGGAGGAGAAGGGAGGGGCCAAGTGTTTATAGATGCTTGGGAGCCCCAGGTAGGGACATGCAGACCACATCTGAATTTGTGTTAGAACAAGAGAGCCCTTGTCCTTCAGAAATGCATACTTAGGTGTTGATGATGGAAAAAATATCTGGAATTTGCCTCAAAATATCCCAGAGCTGGGGCATAGATGAAAGCACTGGCCGTGTCTTGCCGACTGTTGAGGCTCAGAGAATATGACAGAGTGATGTGTGGTATTGGTCAGGACTCTTTCTGCTGCAGATGGCTCACAACTGGTTCAACCATAGGGTGAATTTATTGGCTCTCATGTAATGAGTGGTCTGTGATAGGCTTCAGGCAAGACTGTATTCAGGGGCTTCCAGGTGATGAGAGAAGAATGTGTCTCCAGTCCTGGTCTCATGGCTCTGCTTTCTCCCATTCCTTCTCAAGCAGGCTCTGCCCTTGGTGGGTAAAAGCCCCCACAGATCCAGGCAGAGTGCCATGGGGAGGCCTCTTCCTGCCAGAGTTTTGGCCAGCTCCCCAGAAAGGACTGATCTTGGCACTGTCTCTGGACACACCACCCTCTGGCAGCCACCATCCACAAAGGCAGGGATGGTTCCTTCACAGGCAGAGGGGCTGTTCCCAGAAGAAGGGAGTGTGCCTAGCAGGCGGGGCTGGTCTGAGGGGCAGTCTTCTGTGGGAAGTTGCACAGAAAGGATGAGCTGCATATAGGCTGGGGTACAAGGGAGGCAGTTTGCTTATGGCGTTTGTAGCTCTTAGTGAAGTAGATTCTGCCTCCAGACTCTGGGTTTGTGATAGGGGACCCACTGGGCCTCTTATGGGCCCAAGTCAGTGTTTCTGAGCAAACTCCAAAGCAGGGGTGTCCTCAGCACAGCAGACTCTGTTGGGAGGCCCTGGTCATCTGTTTCTGTTGCTGACCCTCCTGCTGATCAGACAGAGTGATATTGCAGGAACCAGTGACCTTCCTCGATGTGGCTGTGGACTTCAGCAAGGAAGAGTGGGGGCTGCTGGACCCGATGCAGAGGACCGAGTACCACGACGTGATGTTAGAAACCTTTGGACACCTGGTGTCTGTGGGTAAGGCTGTGCCCGTGCTGGCCACTCCACCCTTCTGGGACTGGGAACGTCAGGGGCCCTGAGTTGGGGCCTGCACCTTCTCTGGGCCCAGTGTGAGCACTGGACATGCTGACAAGAGTTCCTTGCACCATCCATACTTTCAACTGGTCCTATGGACCTCAAGGGGTGGGCATTGTGTGGTCAGTGGAGGCTCAGGCCCAGGGAAAGACTGACTTACCGCCCACCTTGAAGGCATACGAGGAGTCAGAGAGCTGGGAGAGTGCTCCCTGTTCTTGCCCCATCCCTGACTGCCAAGCTCGGTGTTCCCCTCTTTGCTACTTCACTTCTTTCTGTAGTCTCCCCAGGTCGCGTGACGGTACCTGGAAAACAAAAACAAAAAAACACCCAGCTTCTGAATACTTGATGATGTCATACTGATAGCCCCTTTTACCACTTTCTCTCTATAGTATCTGTATCTTTTGGGTTCTTTCAGGGTGGGAGACTACACTGGAAAGTAAAGAGTTAACTCCAAAGTCTGACATCCCTGAGGAAGAACCAGCCCCTGACCTAAAAATGGAAGAATTCTCAAGGGATGACACCTGGTCCTCTACCTCAAGAGACATCTTGCAGGGTGGGACCCAGGAAGTCTTGGACACAGCACTGAAGCAAGTGGAGCTCACTCAGGAAGAAACCCTCCCTCAGAAAAGCCCCCAGTCCCAGGCAAACACTGGCCTTGTCACGAGCCCTATCTCACTCCAGAAAACTCTGCCCAGGAAACGCTTGCGCAAGCGTGGCTCGCGGGTTAAGAAGGTGACGCGTGGTCCATGTGTAAAAATTCATCAGAAGGGCCACAAAGGGGAAAAAGCCAGAGAAAACAGTGGTTGTGGGAGAGCCTTCAGCCGGAGCACTCAGCAGATTACGTTCACAAGAATTCACAAAGGGAGCCAAGTTTGCCGATGCAGTGAATGTGGCAAAACGTTCCGGAATCCAAGATATTTCTCTGTACATAAAAAAATCCACACAGGAGAGAAGCCCTACGTGTGTCAGGACTGCGGGAAGGCGTTTGTTCAGAGCTCCTCCCTCACACAACATCAGAGAGTCCACACCGGAGAGAGGCCTTTCGAGTGTCACGAGTGTGGGCGGACCTTCAATGACCGCTCGGCCATCTCCCAGCACTTGCGGACTCACACCGGAGCCAAGCCCTACCAATGTCAGGACTGTGGGAAAGCCTTCCGCCAGAGCTCCCATCTCATCCGGCACCAGAGAACACACACGGGGGAGCGCCCCTACACGTGCAGCAAATGTGGAAAGGCCTTCACCCAGAGCTCGCACCTCATTGGGCATCAGAAGACGCACAGTGGGGTGAAATGCAAGAAGAAACAGCCTACCTCATAGCCCTCAAGCTGAGCCGGTTGAAGAGACATGGCCTTTTCAGCCTGATCCTGCAATGTAACACGAACGGGCGTGGTTGGCATTTGGAACTGAATATGAAAAGCAGCACTGAGTGATGACGTTCTCAAAACCAAAGGACAACCAGGGAGACCACCCTGCACACAAGTAAATGAGAAAACTGGTGGGGAGTTGTTGCTAGTGAATATAAGTTGGAAAAACATTTAATTTTTCACTCACTTGATTTGCTGTTATAATTTGTTTGCTCATTTGGTCATTAAAAGTGATACTAGTGAAACCTGACCATGTTTATAATGTAAGTTTAAAAAGCCAGGTACCAAAAAGTCTGTGCACTGATATTATATTTGTGGTATTTATGCATATGGACAAGGACTAAAAGAGAACAAAGATAAATAAACTATATATTTCTGTGATAGAAATCTCTGGGTTTTTTTCCACCTATTAAATTTCTTTCATTAATAATTTGATACTTAAAATAAGCAGTGTTAAAACAAAGTGAAGTAGATTGTCAGACCAGTTCTAGCAGACTCTGCAAAAGGCCACAGTCCCTCTGGCCCAAGATTCCAAATGAGTTAGGATGAGTGGGTCATCCTAACCCTGATCCTCAGAGCATCATCAGGATGCAGGGAATGTTCGATTCAGGGAATGGTCATCTTAAGCAACCAACCATTGGAGGCCTAGAGGGAGGGAAACCCCCAGCAAGGGGGGGTGGGGAGCTTCCCAGAAATGTTCATGTTGGTGCCCATGTTTCACATTTTACATGAGATGATAGATTAAAATCCTTTCTCCAGGTCACACAGCCTGTAACCTGCAACCCATCCAGTCCTTGCTCCATGACTCTACCTCTGCTGTCTCAAGTTGTACATAACATTTCAAACTATGTCCTAAGACTCTGGGTCAGATGTTGAACTTCTGCTCATCAGATATTAGTTGACTGCTACAGGGCACACCCCTTCAGAGCCCTTGGGGTCATAACACTGACAAGGGTGAGGCACAGTCATGCCATCTGGAGTGAGCGTGTTTCACTCCTTTCTCTACAGGAGTGAACAGCCCCTGGAGACAGACTAGAGAAGCCCAGAGGCCAGGTGCCTGGGGAATGGTGATGGCACACTAGCTGTCGTATTGCTTTTCATGCATCAAGCACAGGGCTCATGACTGCTATGTCACATCTCCATGGTAGCTTCTTTGAGAGATGAAACATTTGGGGCTGAAGAACTTGCCAGGACCCCACTGCCCTCCCACTACACAGTTGGAGATCTTTAACAGGAGAACATCAGCAGCTCCTTCTCCAAGTACTGATGATGTAGGGATGTCCATTTACTTGGGGGAGTGGCCTCACCATGATGCCCAGTATCCACTGGGGAATGCCACAGCCATGTGCTCAAATGAGGTCACTTAATCCTGAAATGCCATACAGTTTTGTTGCCAGAAGATGGTCACTGAAGGAGGTGTGCTGACTGCTTTCACATCTATGGCAGTTTCAAATATGGCCACAGACTCTTTGCCTTTCCTCCATTCCTAGAATGTGGTGACTGCTTCCACCAATAGGGTCAGCAGAAGTTACACCATGTAACTTCCATGAAATGAGGTCATAAAGGATGCTGAGGACTTGTTTCCTCAGCGAATTGAGAAATGGTGGTGTCAGCTGAAACTGACCAGGCTGCAAGATGTTGGGTAGTGAATGAGGAGAGGAGAAATCATCCCTTCAGAGGAAGTGAACAGATGAGGGTAGGCTTGCCCAGTAACTCATCTGGGGCCCTGAGGTTTGGGATCACTAACTGCAAGGCTATGGACACTTTAACATCCAAATTTGAAATCCAGTTGGCTGCTTTAGAAGCTGAGAAATTTATCTCTGAAGTGAATGGAAGAGTTCCCACTTTCCTTAAAGTAGGATGAGATGATGCAGAATTTGAATATATGCAGCTGGTGGTCTCCCATCTTTTCCCAGCCACACATAATTCATTATCAGCAGCACCCGCCATTACACTCAAAAGTTTGCCATTGGGCCTCAGTATGCCTGAATCTCCTGGGGGATTTGGGGAGGCAGAGTGATGACCCCCACATATGTCTACTGCTAGGCCCCAGAACCTGTGAAAATAGTGCTTCACATGGCCAGAGGGACTTTGCAGATGTGATTATGTTAGGATTTTGAAATAGTGAGATTATCCTGGATTATCCTCATAGGCCCAATGTCATCACAAGGGTCGTTTTAAGGAGACAGTAGGATCCAAATAAGAGAGGAAGATATGACAAAAGCAGCGATTGGAGTGATACATGGCCATACGACAAGGAATGTGAGTGGCCTCTAGAGGCTGGAAAAAGCAAGGAAATGGACTCATTCCCTAGAGTCTTCAGAATGAACACAGTCCTGGAGACACCTTGATTTCAGTCCAGTGATAGATTTCTGAACTCCAGAATGTTAAAATAATAAACTTGTATTGTTTAAGCCACTAACTTTGTGGTAATTTGTTTCTGCAGTAATAGCAAACGAATGCAGGGGGTATATGTGATTTGCAATTTTCCACCAGTGGGTGCTGATTTGTGCCCAAAGGGATGGTATATCTCGCTGGGAAGCACTGGATCTGGGGGAGGGAGTGGGAACAGGCACTCTGCCTAGGGTTGGCAGCCTGAAGGGAACTAGTTTGGTGCTAGTGGAATGGTTCTCAGTCTCACAGACATGTGGAGATTGATTAGGTAGGAAAAGTCTAACAGTCTGGATGAGTGAGTAGAATGCTCAGCTCAGACTCTTCTGTGACCTTGGGACAAAGACTGCTGTCCAGTAGAAAAGTGGGCAAATCTAACTTCTGGGGGAAGAGACAGCTGCACTTGCAGAAATGGATGAGGATAGGGGCGCCTGCGTGGCTCAGTTGGTTAAGCGTCTGACTCTTGATTTCCCCTCAGATCATGATCTCATGGTTCCTAAGACTGAGCCCTGTGTTGGGTTCTGTGCTGACACGATGGAGCCTACTTGGGACTCTCTCTCCCTCTCTCTGTCTCTAACCACCCCCCTCAAAATAAACATTAAAAACAAACATTTTTTTAAAAAATGCAGACCCTCCCCTCCCAAGAAAACAGAGCCCATTACATTAGGTGAAAAAAAGTTCAGTCACACCTTTCTAATTTGAGATGCTCTAAACCAAAATGTTAAAGAATAACTGGAAGTAAATAAAGTGCCACATAAAGTGATACCTGCAAAAGCAAACAAAATAAAATGTGTCAATATTAAAATCAACCAAAGTGGGATTAAAAGTTAGAGGGTTGATCAGGATAAAGACATTTTGGTGTGATCAAGGTACTCTAAAAGAAGAAATAACAATTTAAAACCTATATACAACTAAAAAATGGCACTTAAATGACACAAAAATCAATTTGAGATACAAGGAGAACTTGATTAGAGCAAAGCAAAGAAAAAGCAGTTATGGAGAAAGAATTTAATATACTGCCTTTGGAATCAGACATATCTAGTATATGAAATAAACCTAATGAAAAAATTGAATAATAAAATTAACAAGTTCAATTTAATAGATGTATATATAGGATTTTTGTGCCCTATGATTTCAAGAATATAGTGTGCTTAATCAAACAAATAATATTAAAGTATAAATTTTTACAGGTGACTTATCTGATCATATATTAATAAAAGTATGAGTAAATAATAAAATTATCAAAAATATCTTAATTTCCTGGACATTAAGAAATAACTTTCAAATATTTGAACCAAAGAGAAAATAAAATTGGATTACTAACTCCCTTAAAAAAGAAAACACAACATGGGGCGCCTGGGTGGCTCAGTTGGTTAAGCGTCCGACTTCGGCTCACGTCATGATATCATAGTCAGTGAGTTCGAGCCCTGCGGCAGGCTTTGTGCTGACAGCTCAGAGACTGGAGCCTGCTTTGAATTCTGTGTCCACCACTCTCTCTGCTCCTCTGCCACTTGTGCTCTGTCTTGCTCTCTCAAAAATAAATATTAAAAAAAAAATTAGGGGCGCCTGGGTGGCGCAGTCGGTTAAGCGTCCGACTTCAGCCAGGTCACGATCTCGCGGTCCGTGAGTTCGAGCCCCGCGTCAGGCTCTGGGCTGATGGCTCGGAGCCTGGAGCCTGTTTCCGATTCTGTGTCTCCCTCTCTCTCTGCCCCTCCCCTGTTCATGCTCTGTCTCTCTCTGTCCCAAAAATAAATAAACGTTGAAAAAAATTAAAAAAAAAAAAAAATTAAAAAAAAGAGAACATGATGCATCATAATAAACGGTGCACAGCTAAGCTGTATAGCAGGAAAAATTACAGCCTTAATTGTATTATTAAAGTAGAATTATCAAAAATTAAGGAATTAATATTTTGCCTTAAGGAACTGGAGAAACAGTACAATAAACCAAAAATAATAAAATAGAAATTTATTCAAGTTAATGAAAATTAAAGCCAAAGTAAATGAAATGGAGAGCAAAGGGAAAGAAAAGTTATGGTAATAAACCTCTCAAAAGCCTGACTGAGAGAGCAAAAGTATTATAATGTAAATGAGAAAGAAGATAACCACAGGTACAGAAGCAATTAAAAGAATTATGAGACTATTATACAGAACTATATGGAAAATTTCCTAATATAAACAAACAAAAGTGAACAAGAAGCAGAAAACTCCAATAGAATAATTACCATGGAAGTGACATGGACACAAAGCCTAGGGTTTATAGCTGACTTTAAACCTTTCTTTTAAATTTCTTTTTAATATTTAGCACAAATCCCAACGTGGGGCCTGAACCCACGAACCATGACATCCTGACCTAAGCCAAAGTCCAATGCTTAACTAACTGAGCCACCCAGGCGCCCCAGACTTTAAATCTAACTTTAAGGAATAAACTATTCCAATTTGTTAAAAAAATTCCATATCAACACAATGAACAGCTTCACAAAATATTAAATGAAGATAACATAATACTCACATCTGATAAAGATGGTATAAAAAAGAAATGTATCACCCAGCTTCATCTATGAATATAAATACGTGAGTTGAAAATAAAATATTTAATCAAATCCAGCAGTATATCTAAAGAACAATACCATGACCAAACAATTTATTTCAGGAATCCAAGAATACTTCAATTTCAAGAAATTTATCAATTAAGTTTAATCAACTGTATAAAGAACTCATCATACCCAAGAAAAACTATGAATGTAATCAACATGGGACCCTTTCAGTTGGCCCTCCTTACCTGTTAGACATTCTTTATTCATACTGGAGAGAGACCCCATGAATGTCATTAATGTGGGAGAGCTTTTGGTAGGATGTCTCACACTTAAAAAAAAAAACTATTCTGTTGTAATCACTGGGAAATCTTTCAGTCACATCCTTGATTTTAATATTTATCAAAGAAAGCATAACATGGGCACCTGGGTGGCTCAGTCAGTTAAGCATCCAACTCTAGGTTTTGGCTCAGGTCATGAGATCATGGTTTGTGGGTTTGAGCCCCACATCAGGCTCTGTGCTGACAGTGTGGAGCCTGCTTGGCATCCTCTCTCCCTCTCTCACTGCCCCCTTCCTGCTCATGAGTACACTCAAGCGTACTCTCTCTCTCAAAAAAAACAAAAAACAAAACAAACAAAACATAATAGAGGGAAGCCTTATGAGTGTAGTCAGTATAGGAAATTTTTTTCAGAGCTCTGGCTTTATTTCACACCAGAGAATTCACATTGAAAAGAAGCCTTATGAGTGTAATCAGTGTGGGAAATACTTCGGTGGGAGTTCTCACTTTGTTACTCATCAGAGAATTCATACTGCAAAGAAACTGCATGAGTACCTTCAGTGTGGAAAATCTTTCATCTGGAGTTCTTATTAGGCATCAGAGAACTCACACTGGAGAGAAAACTTATGAGTGTCCCAAGTGTGGAAAATTAACTAGAATTCTCATGTTATTGAACATCAAAGGACTCATATTAGAGAGAATCCCTATAAATGTAGTCAATGTGCCCCAGCTATAGCTTTACCGTACCCTAAAGGGCCAGGGAGTAGATGAACAGAGTAGACTAAATTTAGTGTTGTAACACGAGCAAAATTAAAAGTAGCAATTTGATGTTATGTAGTATTTTTTTTATTTTTTAGTTGAATATGGTTGCCATTATCATTACTTTATCCACCTGAAACAGGGATACGGTTCAAAGACTAAGGATCCATTGTCCTTCCATCTCAAGTCTTTCTGAGTAGAAATTGGGGAAGAAAGCCCAAATTAAAGTAAGTTATTCTTGGAGAGGACCTAAGAGAACATCCAGCTCTGGAGGGAAAATGGTGTTCTATCCAAGTCCAACCTTGTTTTGCTCACCACACAACAGGCCTATATAAGGGGAGAGGCAAGACACTGTGGTAAGGAAAGTGACTTTATTCAAAAATCCAGTGGACTGAGACTTTTGTCTTAAGAACCTCTATAGTTATAAAGACTTTTATCCTAAAGAACCATCTTAACTCAGCATGAAATCTCAGCTTCTTTTGTAGCCCAGGCACCTGGATGCAAGCACACCTGGCTCCAGGGGTCCCTAACAGACCAGGGTTGGCCACACAATGCTGACAAAATCCAAAGGCAGAGAGACAAGTGGTGAAACAAGAAAAGAATTAATTTCGGGGCGCCTGGGTGGCTCAGTCAGTTAAACGTCCGACGTCAGCTCAGGTCATGATCTCGTGGTTCATGAGTTCAAGCCCTGCATCGGGCTCTATGCTGACAGCTCGGAGCCTGGAGCCTGCTTTGGATTCTGTGTCTCCCTCTCTCTCTTTGTTCCTTCCCCACTTGTGCTCTGTCTCTGTCTCTCAAAAATAAACATTAAAAAAAGTTTAAAAAAAAATTAATTAATTTCAACGAGGCCAACACCAGTTGGACAGCGGACTAATATCTCAAAGACTATCTCCAAAGTGATGAGAATATTTCCGTGTTTATAAAAGAAAAAAGTGGGGCAAAGGTGGGTGGATACATGCAGGTAGATATTGAGAGTCAAATCAATGGAGTCAAATCAATGTCTTGGAGTCAATCACAGGTGGGGTCTTGCTGGCTCAGGGCAGTCCTTATGGGGGGGGGTAGTTTTGGTTCCCCTCAGGGGATGCTTTGCCATCAGGGTCTTCTGTCTTAGCCAAGAGACAAGCTGGAAAGAAGAACCCTACTGGAAAGTGTGAGGTCAAAACAGAGACAGCTGAAGTCTGAGCCAAAATCTAGAGTCAGACACTTAACCAACTGAGTCAACTAGGTATCCCTGTGCCTCAGTTTTTCTAGCTGTTCAACAGGGAAGAAAGTGTCTATCTTATAGGGCTGTTGAGAAGAGTACTGAGTTAATATACATATGTGCTTTACAGGGCTGACAGTCAGTAAGCCCTTAATCTATTAGTATTGTTATTACTATTATTAATAGCTCCTCTTTCAACTCTCCACCAATTTAGAAGAGCTAAACAATAAAAAAAGTGTTAACAGCCAGAATCATCCTGAAAA